CTTACTAACTTTTTAAATGAAACGCATAATAAAAACTTTGTATAATAATATTATATTATATTTCTGGTAATATTAGTACAGCGACAGCAGAATACTATTCTTAAGATGAATGTTGTTGGTAGTGTTACAGATGAGTTTAAGATTGAGATTGAGACAAGGATATGTCTTACCGCCAATATTATTTAGCCTTGTATTGCGCAAAGTGATAAATGGCTTTGAAAACAAAGTTCTACAAGGTTTTGGTTACGTGATCAAAAGGTTCAATCACTAGCTTATGCAGATGACATTGTTCTTAGAACTACTGAAGTGAATAAACTCAATAAATAAATGTTTTTTAATCGATACAAAAATTAGTTTAAAAAGAATAGATCAAATTAAGCCAGGCAAATGTATTTTGTGGGGATAGATTTCGAGTCATAACTGTTAGTAAGTAATATACGTAAATGTATAATATTTATAATGTGTTATTAGTATAATGATACGAATTATATATTTAACATATTTTTCTAGTAAAATATATTGATTTACAATACTGTTAAACCCTATTAAAAAAAAAAAAAAACAAACAAACAAACAAACAAAACGTTAGAATTTTTTGATAAAAATAGATTTATTCTTAAAAGATACTCTATAATAAATTATACACAAAAAATAAGATTTTTTTTTTTTTATATGTGTTGATACATATAAAATTAAAATAATAGATTTTTTTTAAACGCTATTATATAGAAATAAGACTTATTTCATGAATATTAAACTCATCAACAAATAAATAACTTAGAACATATTTCTGTGGAATGTATTTTTAAAAATAAGAAAACTATTATAATAATTATTATAGTAGCCGATCGTATAAAGTCAATACCCATAAATATTGGCTAAATAAAATACCTTAATATCAGTTGCTTCGAAATGAATCATAAAGCTGAATAAGATGACTGAAATATACGCGTAGAACTGAATATATTTATCTGTCGTACTTTACAATATCCAATTGTATATTAAAATATAAATTAGGAATTAATAATATTTGTTGAAATATGTATGTAATTTAAAATAAATATGTAGTATGGATCATTTATTTCTTTGTTAATTGTATAACTATTTTTAATTGAAATATAAAATTTTCATTTTTATTAAGATAATTTTAAAAACATGTAAAACTTGTACAATACGCTATATCATCATTGACAAATGTAACATATAAATTAATATGTTACATTTGATGATATGTATAATAATTTTATTCTGAGTAATAAATTATACTCAGTCAAAAAAGTGTCGCCTAAGTATTATTATTGTAAAATGACGAGAATGCAAAAAAACTAATCTTGTATAATATTAGCTTACTCGTATATTATCTCTAAGTAAAGTTTTGAACTTTTAATTTAAAATATTAAATTAATAATAGTTTTTTTTTTTTTTTTTTAATTTAATTTATACTTATACCTTCATATTTATTTTAAACAAGTACTCGTATTTTACAAAAAAAAAAAAAAAAAAAAATATTAATATAAAAATAAAAATGTTAATTAGCTAAGAATCTAAAAAATCTTAAATTAAATAAAAAATTAATATCAACTGAACATATTAAATTTATATTAAAGATGTATTTTATTAAAACGAGTGCATGACATTCTTCTTTCATTTAATAACGTTTTTAAAAATACCAAATAAATATTCTCCTTAAAGCCCATGATTTTTAATATAATATTAAATTTATAAGTACCCATATTTATCGATGAGAAAATTAGCTAAATTAGAAACTAATCGTAAAATAAAAGTTATTTACTATTCACATACAACTTTTTTAAGCTCTTTAATATTTTTTTAAATAATCGTGAAATAAATAGATTCATCATAACATTCGTTTTTAAATAGTTTTTATCAAATGTTCATTTTAAATTTAATTAAATTTATAACGTCAATTAATTAATATTGGTAAATATTGCATTCAATCTTAAATAAAAATTTTATATTTTTCTTAAATCGTGTCCCCTACACACTGCAGTACTAATATTGACTACCCAGAGCGCCGTGTTAGAATATTTGAATAAAATCGATTTATTTTTATAAGATATAACTTAGGATCATTTGTAACGTGAAGCACCTTATCGACATTTTACTAAACAGTATTATTAAAATAGTTTGGTGTTACAATAATTAGAGTTAAATTTTGAATTACGATAGCAATGTGACCTTATTTAAAGTCAACTAAATATAATGAGATGTTTATCATAAAGGTCGGTGTCTCACTGTCACCGACCTAAGCCATGGTTAAATTTAATCACTTGATTCTATGAATGAACTAATGCGCATTCAAGTTATTTAATTTATTATAAATTAATATTGTACTTATAAAATTTTTAATTACTAATTATGTCAAACAAAAGTATATAAAAATAACTATGTATTATAATTGCAAACTAATTTTCATATTTAACCCAATATTATAATGGTATTTGTATACAAAAATAATCAATATAATATCATTCATCGATAGTGTAGCTGTCATAATCAATTATTAAATATAAGTTTTTTTTTTTTTTCAATTAGTATACTATTTTTACTGTTGAGTTAGAATTAAAATACTTTCATTATAATATTTTCTAGTTTTTTAGAAACTGAATATTATTTATTTTTAGTAAAAAAAATTAAATTAACGACATATTTTAAATTAAAACAAGCTAATCGAAACTGAATAGTAAAAAATATATAACTGACCGATAATAGTGATTTGTTTTAGCCTATAAAAAATACCTTTTAAATCGTTATTGAATTCGTACTATAAATAATAGATAACACATAAATCACATAACTCATTATTAAATATAATATACAGTTTACTAGAAAATCATTGGTAATATTCAAATCAATTAAGTATAAATATAATATAAACAAGTGTATACATTTTAAAATAAATTTCCAGACTGTATAGATACGAGTATTAAATTTTGTTTCGATCGTTTTCAATGATGATAACAAGAGGAAATAAAATTCACTAGTATAACAAATTATATCACGAACGAATTTAACAATAAATACTGAGTTGGGATTGTTCAGCATCACGTACACGGACATTCGTCGGGTCACTAACAAGGGAACCATTTATTAAATGGAATGGGTTGAAACAAATGGTTTTTATGTGTGTCTGAAAGGATTTTAAGATTTTTTCGTGTTCGTTTTAGGTTTAGTGTATTTTAAGCCGGTGTGTTTTCATAATACGAGGTTCAAAATAAAAATTACCTACTGAACCTATTGTAGTTAATTATAAAAAAATAAAAAACAAAATATTAACAGAAAAAAATTACATTAATAATTTCTATAGATTTAGCATCTAGTTAATGTTTTTCTAAACCAAACGTCTACGTATTGATATCAGATATATAATACATCATATAAGTATCCAACTACAATTTCATTTTGGTAGTGTATTATATTAGATGATTATTTTTGTATTAATTTTCCTTGACCAAACGACTATGTTGCTTGTTGTTAAATGTATTCCAATATATAATATTTATTTATTTATTTATTTTTTTTTTTTTTAACATAATTAAAGAAAAACATTATTTTTCATAGAGATACTTAAGTTAATTCATCAAATAATTTCTGATAATACAGTTTATATAATTTATAAATAATTTAGATTTCAATAAAATAATTTACAATAATTCTGTTATCAATAAAATAATTAAAATTATGTTCGATAAACAATATAACAGTAGTTATTATTGTAGTAAATTCATATTAGTTAATTAATAAGAAATTGAAAATATTATTTTATGTCAAGCATATAGTTAAGTGTTTACTAACCTAATACATAAAAAAAAATAAATATTATGAAATTAATGCCATCACTTTAGAAACATATTACAATACATATATATGTTAATATATTGAATAAAATATAGTTTTCAATATTTATCAAGGATTTAAACAACAATTACAATAAAATAAAAAACAAAAATAAAAATTATAAAAATGTTGTATCTCTTCGTAAACCTGAATATATAATATATACACAAATATTATATATATATATATATCATATGAGAACTTTCAATAAAAATAAAAATCCGTATTTTTGTACATATACAATTTTTGTAACTTCTAAAATAAAACAGTTAAACAGAATAAATTACTTATATAAATATGATGATACAACAGTCTTCAAAAACGATCTATTATCAACAAGGCCTCCTTCCTTGTAATGTTCAAAAATTATCCTAGATTATATCTAATCCCGATCGGTTCTTTTATTCAAGATATTAATTATTATTCATTATTCATTACTTATGTATAATATCTAATTTATAAATATTTTTTTTATTCATTTTTTTTTTTTTATAATAGTTATTTTAAAAATTAAAAAAAAAGAAAAATTTTATTTATAATTTTAGAGTTAAATTATTTTTTTATATTAAATGTTCTTATTAATATTATATAAATTCAACAGCTAAAGCATTTAATTTAAACATAAATATATAGGACATTTATGTACTTAAAAATAAATTTTTTCACACATATATATTATACAATGGAGTATTTTTTATTTATTATATCATTTTACCCACTCGAGTGAATATTTAAAAAGGGAAAAGAGGATTTTCAAGATATCTAGACCAATGGCTTCATATATATTCTACACATTACGTAATTATATATCTAAAAAGGGACCTCTTATAATTAAAATATTCAGATTCGTATAATTTATTGATAATCATAATTTATAATTTTTGTACACATCACTATATAGCTGGCATATATTCTAAGGTTATTTTTATCAAAACAATGTGCATTAAAATATAAATTGACTATAATAAAACCAATAATAATTAATTATCAGCACACTTTAAATGAACTCCGTTTGAAATTAAATTATATCAAAGAGTAATACAAGATACATGAAGTATAAGAGTATTTAAACTGAAATGTGCGTTTCTAGTAAAAATAAATAAATAAATAAATAAATAAATACATATACAATATTAACTCACTGTTTGTGTCCACCAACTGGTTCATGTTTTTTTCATTGACCGGTGAGAAAAAAAAGCAATATTATTAAAAAAAACCGAATATCATTGTGACTCGCCGTGTAAAGCTAATCTAACGGCGGTTATGGTTTTCACACAAGTATACGTGAACGGAAACGGCAATGGTTTATTTATCGAAAAATTAAATTATATCGTAAAATCGTTAGTAATTGTCTACGATTTGAATGATTAATTATTGACGGTTATTTAACATGCGTGCATACGAGAGCAGTTATGATCACACGGATAGAAAGCGGAAAAACGGTGGTCCACATCAAGCGGCGGATACGATGCCACTGGCGGCGTCGTCCCACAGAGTTTGTCCAGTGTGCGCCTCTGGAATTATCGATGTTTCGTAGCAACCACCTTACACCACGCGCCTCCTCTCGATTCCGGCCCGCCACAACATTCGCTATTCTCTTTTCTTATCGCATAGGTGGACATCACCGATAGTTGATAATCGATTGTACGTATACTTCAAAGATAATAACACTATTATTCGGATTAACTTTTCAGAATAAGAAACAAATCCATTGTTAAATTTTCAGTTTTGATATAGTGTTTCTGATTTGTTTATTTAAAATTCTAAATTAACGCTCGTTAACAATATCAGCTAATTTCATTGTCAACCGAATCAAAGATACCTGTGTTTATAGAAGTCGTATTAATGTACTAACTACTAAGTCAAAATATTGTTTTCTGCTACTGTTGTAGCGTCATAACAAATTATTTCGACTTTCGACAACTTATCATTTACCTTACGTTTTAGTTCATTTCAATCATGATTCACCTTAATACTTTAAATATTGGAATGCATTTTACTAATATTAAACATAAATATATATAAATTTATTTTTTTTTTATAAGTACTATAACTATTCGGTACATAATAAATTATGTTGAAATATGTTTTGAGATGAGAAATTTGCACTTTTGCTAATTTGCTAGATATTGATTTTTCTCGTTTGTGTTATTGTAAGTAGTAAGTACAGTAAACATATCTAACGAGTTATGCAACGTTTTAACTTTAGTGTTACATTCGTTATATAAATGGAGGGTCATAAAGCATGGAATTGTTCGTCATTAAATTCGCTTAGTATGGTTGATGTTCTTTAGATCACATTTTCACTCAAACATATGTAGTTGAAACAAATAAGTTATTAAAAAAGAAATTTCTAATGCTATTTTTAAGTAAATCGCGTATTTAAATAACTTGAGCGTGTGTTTCAGAAATCATTATTTCATTGGATCAGACATTTTTAATGTTTCTTGTGTAATTATAATTTGTTAATGTTTGTAAATGAAAACGAGACTAACAATAACGGTGGTATCTTGATTGTTTAGTATGGTAATGTATGCAATAGTGTTATGCATTTTTGTTTGTGTTTTTAAAAAAGAATAATGAAGCATTTTAGCATATATTCAACTTAAAAACTAAGGATACTGAAAAATTACAGTAATAATATTAACTAGGACATATACTATACACACAAAAGGAACTTGAATAAAGTGTTGAAGTAAGAATAACAAACATTTTTCTCGAAAATAAATCACACTTTACTGTCGACTATATTGATATTATTATTAAAACATTGAATATTAAGTATAATGTATATAAAATTGTTGTAAAGTAAAATAATATACATATGTATGCTGAAATAAAAATAAAAACGAACAAATCAGTTGTTAAAATAATGCATACAAATTAAAATAACGTTATTTATATAAACTTAACGTTCAATGAACTATTTATTTATTTGAATAATCATATATACCTATGTCCTATGTATAATATTAAAATATTTATTACATAAACATATATGTTATACATACATTTTTGTATTATTTTTCCTGTAATTTTTTTTATAAATAATTAAATAATACATACATAAATTAGTAGAAAATAAATCACATAAAACAAAAGAAGAATATTAAAATCATTAAAATATTTAATAATGCCATGCATAAATATATCATGGCGTTTTCAAGTGAAATATTATTATATACATTGTTAAACAATATTTTTAATTTTTACTATAACTTTTTTTTAGTTCAAAATTAACTATAAAAATGCATAGTTTATGTAAACTTCGAATAGTCTATAGTATTTAGATTTGATAAAAATGTCCTTATGTGAAATGAATTGCATTAATTAAATCATCACAAATAATATTGTACTAGATTTTTATTGTAATAACTATTTATTGTTATATAATAACTTATAAATCATTCTGACATAGGTACTATGTCACCATATAATGGTGTGCAACGTTGTATAAATATCATAAATCAAGTTTAAATATTTTGAAATTTTTTTTTGTGATATATGTTACGATGAAAAACTTGAAGTTATTTCTATGCTTAATATTTTTTTAATTAAATTAAAACAACAAAATATACTGTTGTTTCATAAATATTTTAGTTAATCCACTTTATTTCTCGATTGTTTTAAAATTACTTGGAATTTCCTGTTTTTAATTCAAACCAGATACTAAAAATATCCAATTTTCTACCAGAACCATCCTTGAAGTTAACAAAGCATTTTATCTAAAGTACCAAATAGATTCAATTTGTAATTAGACACCATCCTTAATGAAAACGTTCAGTAACGAAAAAAAATAATACATTTATGCTCAAAATATAATATGATATAATAAGTTGTTTAATGTAATGTAACATCTTGTTACTATTTAGTATTTTATTTATTACAGTAAATATTAACTATGAAACCATATAAGAGAATTTTTTTTTTTTGATTTTTTTCACGAACAGTAGTTTTACAAAACTCACGTAACTCTTTTAATTGTAATCTTGATTTTAGAAGTACTTTAATTAAATTTCATTTTAAATTAACATATAAATGCAAGTATCTAAATAATTATACGTATGTTATAAATGTTTTCTGTTTTTCTAAAAAAAAAAAATGATGAAAATAATTATGTATGTTATACAATTTGTTATATACTACTATAATAATTACGTACTAATCTATCTATTATTTATATAAATATTTGAATAGTATTCATTGTTAATTAATTTAATGTTTCCCGAGAATACATGTAAATTAACATTATTTTGTTATTTGAAAAAAATATTTATAAAACGATAATGAAACATAAATATAATATTATTTTATATCAGAATTTATAATCCTAATATATTGAAGATATTCTGACAAAATATAATTAAGTGTAATTATTCAAACTTAAAGAAAATTATAATTTCATTAATTAATATTTAAATGGGGCCGTCTTTTAGATATATTGTGTTAGACATATATCGAGTTTAAATAAAAAATAAAATTCACATTATATATATATATATAAATATATTATGATGGGATAGGTGTACAAGTGTATAAATCAATAAATCCTAATGTAAAAAAAAAAAATAAATAAAAATATGTATTGAACTATTTGAATTTAATGAAAATAAAGTATACTTCATAGAATAACAGTTGGTTAAACACTACCCTAAATACCACTTGTTTGTGAATATATGTGTTTATAAATCTATATTATGTGTGTACAAGAAAGAAAACGCACAACAATAATCATCGATTTAACCTAACCGATAAACGACATTTACGGTGATACACAAAATACAATAATAGGTATCAACTATCTATCATCCACGGTTTTTTTTTTTTTTTTATATTCTATTATTTTCTCCATTTAAATACAATGGCTTTGATGATGCCATCTTCACCTGCTACAGTAAATAATTTATTCATCCAAAAATATATATAGGTATAAGTTTCAACGAAATTTCACCACTTGCTTTACCAATATTGAATACATGGACATTTAAAAATCCAATATATTTTCAAAAAATCATAACTTTTACGTAACCAATAATATCTTATTTTATTTAAAACCGCAACCATATATTTTTTTGGCATTATAACTTATAACTTATATGTATTATGCAAACAACAACATAAATATAATAATATACGTCACAAAATATTTTTAAAAGTAACGCTAAGCCATAGAAATATAAGTAATTTTGTGTGCTTAATATATTACGTAATATTTATACTTAATTTTGTTTTTTATTTTACTATTTTTTAATGTCAAAATGACATTTCCGATAATAAAAACTTTGTTTTTAGTAATTCTTATAATTTTAAATATAATCTAAACATTATATTTACCTACTTCGTATCATGTAATAAAACCCTTATGCTACTGTCTATATATTAATAACAGAAGAACAAATATGTCACGTATAAAATAAAACATTAATTTTATTGTAATTTTTTCAACATTTGGACCAAGGTAAAATATTGAATATTGTTGTTACTAAATATATTTAACTCGTATGAATAATATTTTTGTAAAAAACACATACTTAAGCTTAAAGAATTATTTTATTAATATTTTACATTAAAGATTATCATTTAAAATGTATAGCATTTTGAAAATGCAACATACAACTTAATATAATATTTAAAATATAATTCATATTCATAAGAAATCTGTGTTTTAAATTTTTACGAGTTAGATAAATCCAAAGGTAACAATTTTGAAACAAAATATTAAAATATAAGATACAAAACTATTTTAATTATGAAGCAGTGTAAAATAATATAGTATTAATTTCATTACAAACTGAATTAATTTAAATCATAATACTCGTATGCTATAGTTTTTTTTATACGTATTATGTTAAAAAAAAAATTGTATTCAAACATAGTAAATCATTTTTCAAACTTCTCTTAAAATGTTTTATAGTCTCACCATGTAAAACTATTCAATATACATATACAATAAATCATATGAGCTCCAACCACTTTTTTGAGTACCTTACACATTATACTTAACATTCTTATATAGTCATACACTCTATACTGTGATTCATCTAACGTTAAAATAATATGCATTTAATAAAAGTTAATTTACTCGTAGATAAATTTTTCAGAAATATTAATATTTTACTCTATCTTAAATATAACAATAAAAAATTGTTTTAAAAATATGAGGTACAGTATTTGGATGAGTCACTGCAAGGATGTGTGTCTTAAAACCTAAAAGCAATCATAAATCATTTCATTTGAAAACGGATATTTTTAATGATCTACATTTTTGATTCAAAAACAAAATTAAAGCAAACATTTAAAATTTTGTGCATAATTTGGCAATTCGTATATAACTAACTTTTTACGTAGTTAAATTTTCATACTTAAATCGTTCTTGTTTACTTCCACCGATATGTAATTATGAAGTTAAATTGTGAGAACTATAAAGTTATGATGATTTAGTAATTTGGTTAGAGACAA